ACTTTGCATTGCCAAAGAACTTATTTATCAACAATTAGCTCGATTTTTTTTTTTGTAACGGAAGTGTTGGTAGTAATAGATTCTCCTTTTGGCAGCTACAAACTCTGTCGTTTTCGAATAATACATACTATTTTTGATAAATTGTACATTGCAGGTCAAATTCCCCATTCTAATGCCAGATTTTCTATTTTGTATTCCGAATTCTCCTTTTAAATTCCATTTTAGTATCTTAAATTTTCTATCAACATATTTTTTACATGTTTTTATTCCATATTCTCAAATGATTTTATTTGATATTCTGAAGTACTCAAAATTTAAATTCTCAATTTGGTTTTCTCAAATTCTTCATATTTTGATATTCTCAAATACTCCATTTAAAATTTCTTAAATTCTCAAATACTCCATTTAAATTTCTTAAATTCTCAATTTCTTCATTCGATATTCTCAAATGTTCTTCGTTTGTATTGGTATTTTGCAAGTCTGTGTTTGTTTGTTTTTCTACTTTGTGTTCGAAAATATTGAAATGATTGAAACTGTTGTTACCAGATGTAGGGTAGATCCACAAAAAGCTATAGTCAATGACTTCAAGAAACCAAATAAATATATTTCTTATATTTGATCATAAAAATACAAACTGGTTTGATGTCAACCATAAATTTCTCAACTTCCGTCAATTTGTCACTTACATTCATGCTAAATATTCAAATTCATGAATTGTGAAAAATAACTTTGAATCATCCACTTTGATTTAAGATAAACGTATTTCATCAATTTGCTGCGGAATATCATAAATTCATAGTCTATATCTGTGTATAATATTTTTTTTTATAATATTATATAAGTTAAGTCTCTGAGTATGATGTTAGTTGGCAAAGTGACATAAGGTTTTCCTGTAGGGTAGTGAGCAAGCTCTAATTCGATTGTGTCTCAATCAAAATTTTGTCGGCTATTGAATGTTTTGGAATACACTTGTGAAAAACGGAAGGTATCAGATTAAAGATGTAGAGCTTATATGTATTTTTGTATTTAAATTTTCAGGTATAATTATAGAGCTATTCACAAAATCTTGAGAGTCATTACATTGACTAACCAAAAAAAAATAAATATAATAGACTATTGAACCCTGATATCGAATTTACTAAAAGATATACTGGTGGAATTAGGGACCACTAACAAGAAATATATGAGCTATTAGGTATAGTATGGTTCGCTCAAACTATAACGAGACTCCTTTCTGTCATATTGATATGTGTTGTATTGTTTTAGTTGTTTCATTATTCTATCGTCTTCTGGAGCTATATAGGTCGTTTGGTGCTGGTGCTCCTTATAGATTCATTTCATTTCAAACTATAGAGCATACGACAACTGTTTAATATGTTATGTGTCATATTTTATATGGAAGACTAATTTTTACTGTTAATGCTGTCGATTGTTCAAGTTTTGACCCTCAATCTTTTCCACCAAAGCTCAGACGATTGGGGTGTTAACGATATTGAGAAAAAAGTCGAGGAGTTCAACTCAAGCAATAATTGAAAATTTTCTTAGATTTGATGAGATATCGATAACCTGATCGATATCTTTAGAACTATAATAGAGATGAACTCGTGAGCAGCGGAATGATAATTACAGGTCAAATAAAACCCCTTCCTTCCATTTAACACCCTTTAACCTTACACCCATAATCAAATAGTCCTAAATGAGGATAGAAAATGGGCAATAAACACCCAAAATACTGATATCGTTTGAAGCAAGCCGATTCTCGGATTCCAAGTAGAAAGGTCACAAGATTAAGACAGAAAGTCGAGAGAATAAAAAAGAGCAATTAAAAATCTCGTCGCTTTATCGTGAGATTTGACGAGATTGATCATATTTGTTTTAACCCTTTATCTGTCAACAATAGAAACGATCAACGAAAGAGGATCTGTGATTGGATAATTGGTCAAGCGGTTCAGACGAAAGAAAAGGGTTGATTGGTTAATTACTGGGCAATATTAAAGAACAATATCTTCTATAATTTGTACATATTTTAGCAGATTGTAAGAAGAAAATCTTGTTTAAATCTCGAGAAAGTGTTACCTGTATTTTGTCGGCTAAATTCAAAGTCTTTAAGACAAAGTAGATCATTTTTACGACCGAGAAATGAGAAATACAAAAGAGTAAAATTATCTTAATTCCGAAATAGGTCTTTAGATTTATCATCTTTATGGAGTGTTCTACTTTATAAATTAATTGCTGAATAAACAGAAGGGATTTCACACTTTATTGATCGTGGGAAAGATTGCTTCCATTTTTGTACCCCACCCCCCTCATTTCCACCATAATGAATCATATGGAAGAGTGGAATTTGGGGAGGGTGCCACTTTCGTTGAAAGTTTTTAATTCAGACTTACGCCTACTGCAAACTCATACAAACTTTAGTTGACGGCACACCTACTTGATACGTTTTTTTTTTCCAGTCGTGGTGCCTCAAAGTTAAAAAAGAGAGAGAGAGGAGGGGTTGGGGGGGGGGGGGGGGGGTATCGGCTGTGTCAGAATTGTGAAAACGTTTCCTTAAACATAGACAGTTTTGGCAACTTTACAGGCTACAAAATGTTTCTTTCTTGTCGTAAAAGATCTTTAAACCAATGGGCATCTTTATATTTGGTGGTGGGAGGTAGAATCTTTTTTTTTTATACTTGATCGTCTACTTAACGGTGATTAGATTTAATGCATTTTTGTTCAAGTATTATCATACTCAATGTGGAATTGCGTTGGACGCAGTTTAGGAAATGCTGTGGTTGTTTTCTGATTATTGCTTGAAATAGATCTTTCATCCATAACACCAAAAAGGGCAAAAGTTTAGATTACTTTGACCGCCTGATAGTGTGCAGTTTTTTTTTCTAGATTTTTGCGGAAGAACATATCCAAATAGTCAGCTTGCATTTCAAACTATTATGTTCAACTAGCTCGAAGAAAATCATCCGTGTCCATGTAGTTTCATTAGGAACCTAAAAAGAGCAGCAACGTAACGTGTCCTAACCGGGGTCAAGAGGTCACTAACTGGACAACTGTTAGTTTAAAGTCAAAATAGGATTAACAGATTAAAGTATTACTATTCTACAGAAGGTGTTTAGTATCTGTAATATGTTCAGGAGATTATCCTCACACCCTTACGTCTGTTGACCAACTAAACACCCCACACCCGGGACCGATTCAAGGTCCCTAAACCCTCGGGGCTTGTAATCAGACACAATCACTTACATGAATTGCTATCATAACTTTTGTTTATCGGTTGTTATCGCCTTCTGATTTATCCAATCATCCAACACGTTATGAATTGAACAATAATACAATAAAACAATACTAGGTATTTGATTGGCCATTTATCACCTTCTGCGATCCTGCAACCAAATAACAGCCTCGGGCTTGAAAAGATCAGAGAGTAAATATTGGGTGGAAATAATGTTAAAGTGTACAATTATTTGTAATTATTGTACAATAGAAGACATTACTAAGTGTTGGGAATAGTTCGAGGTTGAATAATTATCACAAATAGAATGATTTCACTTCCCAACAACAACCTATAGTTTTGCGATATCGGCATCCACTGGAAGCGACCGTTAACTTGTCATCTTCCTACATAACATTATTGGCAGTCTTATCATTGTTCATCATGGACATTCCTGCTCGTTCTTTTTGCGACAAGGTGCAAAAGATTCGAATCCCCTTCATGGCAAGATACCTTGTGTATGCATTCGAGGTTTGTTTCGAGGTCCTCTGCAAACCCCTTCCCATATAATTTTCGTCATAACAGCATTGCAGGGGCTAACATTCTGACAATAATCCGAGGCTCTATGTGATAAAGACTGTGCTGGTTAAAGATCCATATAGACATTTGGAAATCGAAACATTGGCTAATTGTTGGCTAATGCCATCGTCCTGGCAAAATGTCCATTATTGCATGACGGTGTCAGACCCAGTCTGTAGACAAGTAGGACGTAAAACTCCATTTCCTTTCAATATGAGTTTTTGCTAACCTTGTGGTTCCATTTTTTAGCAAATGCTTAGAGAAGACATTTCGATAATTGAAATCACATTTTATTAATGTAAAATCAAACAAAATTGACTAAAAAAATAAAATCATAGATTAGCATCGCATCAAATATTGAAGGGAAATAGTCGTCTAAATATTCAAACTATCAATATCTTCTCAGAATGAAAATCCGAAACAGCAGCCTAAGTTAAAAAGTTTTGTAGGAAATGACGACAAATAGATATCACCGACAACATAAACATATGGTAATAACACTCTTTCGATTCAATTGCTCGTTTTATTTAATTGGAGATGCATCATACGTCTGATTTTCATTCTGAAAAAATGGATTAATACAAATGACCCCTTTCAAATAGTTAAGAATATTATGTCGACTGTAAACAATTTCAACGTAAAAGTCAAACAACAATAAGGTAATACGAATTAATTAATGAATTTTGTCACAAAGTTCAAATTCTAAAAGTGATTTCTTGATCTTCCACATTTTCCAATTCACAGCTCAGTTCATTGATCTCCATCGTTATTGATCCGAAAGTTGCGTTTACTGAATCATCTTGTTTGTCGTCTGTATCCTCTATATCTGGCCATTCTAATGATTCGTTCAAATCAACTTCATCCTTCGTATCGCCGTTACTTGTACCCTGGGCTATGTCGGCGTTAAAATCGTCATCAACGTGTTCTGCTTTGTCACATTCAGTTCTATCCTTACCCTCTCGCTCGTCTTCAGGGTCATCTTGAGAAAGATTTTCCACGGTTTGAGCCAGAGCGTTTCGAAGATCTTCCTGAGTGACAGAAATGTCTTTGACATCCTTGGTCTTCGAAAGATATTTTTCTGAAATCATATTAGCATTGGTTTCAGGAAGGTTTTCGGTTTCTACATGAACAATAGGAGATTTAGGCACCAGCCAGCTGGTATTGAGAGTTTCTTCTACTAAAATAGAAACTTTTAGTGAATTTTCCAAAGCTGTGGTTTCTTCAGGTATAATATCAAATGTGTTCTCAAATGATGTTTCAAGATCAACAAGTTCTTTAGGCAGGTGAACATCAACTGACGTAGAATTGGAATGGTTTTGTTCTCGTAATGTTTGCCTTGATTCCAGTTCGGGTGTTGATCGATCTTCAGAGTCGATGGACAGGTTGGGCACCAACCAATCATCTAGCGTTAAATGATCACTGATTTCATGTTTCTGAGGTGAACATGGTTGTGGTTCATGGTTTTCATCTTCTTGTGGAAAAGTTTCTTCTGCTTTCATCGCAGCTGTCTCATTTGATTCAGCTTGAAGAAATTTGTGTTTTCTGCCAAGGTTATCTGCAAATTCATCACCGTAATGCCCCTCTTCATCTTCACTATCGCTTGATATCTGAGCTTCAAAATCACCCGATTCCCTCCGGAAGTCAATTTTATCATATATAGTATGTGAGCTATTGGGATCGATGTTAACATCTGACATACTTGGGGACACTGACAATATGGAATTATTTGTAATATTAGAATCTACACTATACTTCTTCCTCTTCTTATGTCTAGAAGATTTGCGTTGACTTACACGGATTTCTCCTCGTTTTGCGGAAGTAGAGATGTGTTGGTCTTGGTAGTTTGTACTTCTGTTGAGGCCAATCTCTGGCCTCCTTATGGCTTTATTATCAAAGTATTGTTGGTATTTTTCAGGAGAGGGGTTAATAATATCAATAGGAGTTGATGTTATTTCGGAGTAGGTCCAATCTTCGTACACATTACTAGACACAGGCTTTATTCTAGTTCTAATCTGCTTAAAGGTCTTCTTGGGATACATTGGCGAGGGCGCAAGTCGTATTCTACCATCTAATCCACCTTCGTCATTTTCTGTGGATCCTTTTCTTGGTCGATTTCCAGCCTTAGTTTCTTTCAGGGATGCACCTTTGTATTCTACCGAACTAGCACTACTCCGACGATTATCTAAAAACCTTGATAAGGTAGAACCAGATACAGCCTTCAGGGACATTTTGCTCTTATCAGAAGAAACGTGATCATGATAAACATCGCCATGTTTCGTCTTTGATAAGGTCTTTGATAAGGTGGCGGACGCTACATTAACTTTAACAGGACTGGCAGCTTTCATTCGAATCTTGTCTTCAGTGGATTTTTTAGCGGGTTTTGTATGAAATGAATCAAAATGCTTATCCACAGATCCTGGTGTAATTTTAGAGGTGACTTTCGTGGAAATGTTCTTTGGGAGTTTGGCAGTATTTACATCACGGCTTCCTCTTGGTTTAATTTCTTCTATTAAAGTAGAAGCAGAGCTTGATGAATTTCCGACCATTTCATGTTTAGATAACCTCCTTACACCAACCCCTGAAAATATAGAAATCAATCCATTTAATACATTTTCCAGAATCAATTTGAATGGATGTTTACAAATACTTAACAGTACAACAGAATGATGTTTCCGGTGTCTGTGAGCTGTAGGGAACTAGGGATAAATTATGTCGCGTAGCAAAGCGATCGGTAACGCCTTAATTTAGACAAAAATAAATAAAAATATAAAACAAAAAAAATCACTAAAGATGAACTTCTTCCATATCATCAAGGTACAGCTTGAAAACTATCGGAGGGACGGAAAGTGTCCATAAAATATCACTAAAAGCTTTAGGAAACCTAGTTGAATTCTAATATCTCCACTTACCCCTTTCAGTTGTTGATGCACGTTTTTGATTTTTGTCGACTTTTGTCCTTAATCTCTTTGATGATGAAGACAGACGTTTTTCATTCCCCACTTTCGATATTCCAGCAGACGTATCACGGGCATGAGATCTTCTTCTATCTACTTCAGCTATTTCTGAAATCGTCGTAGATGTACCAGATTTAAAATTCCTTCCGTTTCTTTTTCCGTTGTTTTTGCTTGGCAGAGAAGAACCATATTTCTCAGTAGACCCAGAAGACGTACGAATGCCAGCAGACGAACGTTGTATACTACTCACTCCAGACATGGTAGACACACCAGAAATACCAGACATTCCAGATTCAATAAAAGATGGATTTATACTAGCCGTTCTAGATATTTCTGTATTCCTACTTTCTAAAGCAGACATACCAGACATGCCCGACACACCAGAAATGGCAGACATTCCAGATTCAATAAAAGATGGATTTATACTAGCTGTTCCAGATATTTCTGTATTCCTACTTTCTAAAGCAGACATACCAGACATACCAGACATGGCAGACATACCAGATTCAATAAAAGATGGATTTATACTAGCCGATCTAGATATTTCTGTATTCCTACTTTCTAAAGCAGACATACCAGACATGGCAGACACACCAGAAATGGCAGACATTCCAGATTCAATAAAAGATGGATTTATACTAGCCGATCTAGATATTTCTGTATTCCTACTTTCTAAAGCAGACATACCAGACATACCAGACATGGCAGAAATACCAGAGATACCAGACATTCCAGATCCAATAAAAGATGGATTTATACTAGCCGATCTAGATATTTCTGTATTCCTACTTTCTAAAGCAGACATACCAGACATACCAGACATGGCAGACATTCCAGATTCAATAAAAGATGGATTTATACTAGCCGTTCTAGATATTTCTGTATTCCTACTTTCTAAAGCAGACATACCAGACATACCAGGCACATCAGACAAACCAGATCCAATAAAAGAGGGATTTATACTAGCCCGTCTAGATATTTCTGTATTCATACTTTCTAAAGCAGACATACCAGACATGGCAGAAATACCAGACACGGCAGACACACCAGACTTTCCAGATTCAATAAAAGATGGATTTATACTAGCCGGTCTAGATATTCCCGTATCCCTACTTTCTAAAGCAGACATACCAGACATGGCAGAAATACCAGAGAAACCAGACATTCCAGATATGGCAGACATTCCAGATTCAATAAAAGATGGATTAATACTAGCTGTTCCAGATATTTCTGTATTCATACTTCCTAAAGCAGACATACCAGACACGGCAGACACATCAGACACGGCAGACAAACCAGATGCAATAAAAGAGGGATTTATACTAGCTGTTCCAGATATTTCTGTATTCTTACTTTCTAAAGCAGACATACCAGGCATGGCAGAAATACCAGAGATACCAGATTCAATAAAAGATGGATTTATACTAGCCGTTCCAGATATTTCTGTATTCATACTTTCTAAAGCAGACATACCAGACACGGCAGACATACCAGACATGGCAGACACACCTGATACTCTAGACACACCAGATATGGCAGACATTCCAGATTCAATATAAGATGGATTTATACTAGCCGTTCTGGATATTTCTGTACTCATACTATCTAAAGCAGACATACGGGAGGCATTATGAGAAGGGTTCATACTGCTCACTTCAGACACTTCTGTGGAACTACCCGTCAAAGCTGACGTACCAGATGATGGATTTATACTCCCCACGTGAGATTTTTCTGAAGAAGAAGACTCCAAAGCAGAACGCTTTTGTATAGAAGAAGTATCGGGTGAAGTATGGGATTTTCTATACCCTACTTTAGGTGAATCTGTTGAATGCCCTTTCATAGCCGAAGTGTCGGGTTCGTGATGTCTTCCGGGTGAAGTATGGGATTTTCTATAGTCTACTTTAGGTGAATCTGTTGAATGCCCTTTTGTTGCAGAAGTATCGGGTTCGTGATGTCTTCTGGGTGAAGTGTGGGATTTTCTATAGTCCACTTTAGGTGAATCTGTTGAATGCCCTTTCATAGCTGAAGTGTCGGGTTCATGATGTCTTCCGGGTGAAGTATGGGATTTTCTATAGTCCACTTTAGGTGAATCTGTTGAATGCCCTTTCATAGCAGAAGTATCGGGTTCATGATGTCTTCCGGGTGAAGTATGGGATTTTCTATATTCTACTTTAGGTGAATCTGTTGAATGCCCTTTCATAGCAGAAGTATCGGGTTCATGATGTCTTCCGGGTGAAGTATGGGATTTTCTATATTCTACTTTAGGTGAATATGTTGAATGCCCTTTCGTTGCAGAAGTATCGGGTTCATGATGTCTTCCTGGTGAAGTATGGGATTTTCTATATTCTACTTTAGGTGAATCTATTGAATGCCCTTTCGTTGCAAAAGTATCGGGTTCATGATGTCTTCCGGGTGAAGTATGGGATTTTCTATATTCTACTTTAGGTGAATATGTTGAATGCCCTTTCGTTGCAGAAGTATCGGGTTCATGATGTCTTCTGGGTGAGGTATGGGATTTTCTATATTCTACTTTAGGTGAATCTGTTGAATGCCCCTTCGTTGCAGAAGTATCAGGTTCATGATGTCTTCTGGGTGAAGTTTGGGATTTTCTATACTCTACTTTAGGTGAATCTGTTAAACGCCTGTCCATAGCAGAAGTATCAGGTTCATGATGTCTTCCGGGTGAAGTATTGGATTTTCTATACTCCACTTTAGGTAAATCTGTTGAATGCCCTTCCATAGCAGAAGTATCGGATTCATGATGTCTTCCGGGTGAAGTATGGGATTTTCTATACTCCACTTTAGGTAAATCTGTCGAACGCCTGTCCATAGCTGAAGTAACAGGTTCATGGTGTCTCTTAGGTGAAGCTGAATGTGTTTTTCTATACTCTTCTTTCGGAAAATCTGTCGAACGTTCTTGAATAGCAGCAGAATGATGTTTATGATGTCTCTCGTTTTGTTTTGGTGAAGGAGACAAGGGTGCTATAATCTCCAGGTTATACATTGGTGTTTCTTTCGGTAAAAGTACGGAAACTTTTTTATCAGCGCCGTGTGACACAGAAGCCACGTTTGAAGAACACTTATCTCCACCTTGTGATATGATTCTTATTGAATCCATAATTTCTTCAGGGGTCAAAGACTTTTTAGAGGATACCAGAGACTTTTTCGATGGCGTTGATGTTAGCGTTTTTGTCCATTCTTTGACTAAATCTATTGATGGCGAAGACTTTGGAGGCTTGGTAATGACGGGTTTAGATGTTCTCGTATCAGGTTTTTGGTCGTCGTTGTGCTGCAAGAGTTTGACAATCTCGTTCATTTGCTTTTGTGTTAGAGGTGGCATGTCTACACCGTCTAAAAGAGACAGAAATAGATTTAAAGTGATAGAACAATATAGTTGAAGAGGTTGATTTTGGATTTTATGGTAACTTTTCGAACTCGAGTTGACAAGTGACTTTTTCCCTCTAATGAATCTTCTGTATTTGAGATTAAAGTTGTCCAGTTCATCACTAAAACTAAATTTATAACAGTGCATAATTCCGACGCGGTTATATAGTGAGATACTGTAATCTCAATAAATTTAGCATCAATAATTCATTTTTCGTCTTCTTATAATATTAATCTTTTGCCCATATCAAATAAATTTATAGCTTGTATCTGTACTTACATTTTTTAGAATATTCCGGTGTCGGTTGTTGCCCAGTCATTGTTTCCACACAAACTTCACCACACAAAGTTGTACAGCCTGGAGGTGGGGGTTCTTCAAAGACACCATCCTTATAAGACTCGTCATGGAAAAACTGTAGGTCTTTCCTGCAATAAGTGAAAAATAGAATTACTGAATGTATATCTTGTTTATTGAACGAACACATTCATTTTGAATTGTATAATTAAATCAATTGAAATATATGAATGAATGAATGAATGAAATGAATGGAGATTTACGTCCTTTTCTTCACCATGTGGTCTAATGAAGACGGGAATGAATAAACAAATAACAAAGCAAAACAAATTAGTAAAGAAAAGCAGAATAGAAAATCAGAAAAGCAAAGTAAAATAAATATAACTACCTTCTGGACCATACTTTAAAGCAATGGATGAGACAAAACAGACCAATCAACGACGCTAGGGCAATCAAAATACCCACTGTAATACTGATGTCTCTTTTGTGATGGTATTTAATATGGCCTGTATGTACTAGCCTACTAAATATTGTTGAATGTCGGCCTGAAATTATAATTACCAGTTTAATAGCAAATCAAACTCCCTTGTTTTCTCTCTGAATAAATTCTCTCTTATAAATCTTTATCTGAACTGATGAGGTAACAACGAAAACCATATCAACACTATAAACTTGATAAAATACCACCGAATGACAAAAGACAATTCCAAGATTAAAATACGTTATCGACAAATTTGGAAGCCAAATTTTCATATTTGCATCCAGGCAATATCCATGCATCAAAAAGCAAATGGAATATTGCCATCATATTGCTGCTATAAATTTTACTGAGCGAATCAACTACTGTAAGTAACCGAAGATTGACTAAAGGGAAAGAACTCTAATTCAAAGACTATTAGTTAATAGTGGGCTGGAGTTCGATTCCTATCACAGAAGTTATTTCCCTTGTTTTCAATCTTTGCTGCTGATTTGTAACTTATTGTACCTACAAAAATCACAATAATCATTAACAGATCATAAGTGTAAATAAATCAAACCTGTTGAAGCTGCATTGCAGATGTAATCCTCAGAATTTTTAGCACAACGACATAGTGAACTGTCCAACTTAGATAAACATTCACCATTTTCACACGGGGCATCTCCACAGATTGGTACAACTGAAATGGAGGGGAATAGAATTTTACGTCTAATTCTTTGTGCAATGTGATAAAATTGACCGGGCAAAATGTAAATTATGGACATGACATTTAACTGTTAACTGAATTACAGATAGTCGAAGTTGAACCAATCTTATCTTAATTAGAATTTAAATTAGCCTAAAATATATTTTATTTACCCTCTCTTCATCTGATACAGCTCAACTTCATTCAAATTTGATTACAATTTTTCGTCAGTTTAATAAGACTGAAGTTGAGTTTAGAGAGCATATATATTTCAAACCTTTTTAAACATAAATTTCAGTGTTGCCGCCCCATAGAAGCACTGGCAGTGATCACTCAGAGAGACCATATTAGTGTTTAAGTGAATTATTAGAAGAATAAGCTTTAAGTGTATACCTCTTGATTGTTTTAATCCCATACTTACTATTCTGACAGCGGGATCCATAATATCCGACAGGACAGATACAGATATAATTGGATGGTCCTCGACTCAAATCATTTCTGCATAAACCACGATGTAAACAAGGTTCGTATTTACAAGGATCCTCTGAAATAATAATTCATAAATTAACTATTTCATTGCAGTCAAGCAACGTCGTGTTGTGAGTTTGAATTGCTCTAGTGTTGTCGGATATAACCACCAATAATCAAAGAATATCTTAAATGTCGACTCTCTCCTCTTGAAGCTAGAATAACACATTTTGTCATCGAACATTAGAAAAACTACAAGTTTAGTTAATCTATCCTTTTTCGGAAATGAAAGTTTAAAAGAAACGTTTACCTCGTAATTGAACATTTTCAAATTCTTTCTTTCGCAAAGTTTTCTCCAACTTAGTAATTTTCTCTGCAAAGATTGATAAAAAAAAAACGTCTTTATGGTTCACGAAAGAAATAAAAACTTTCCCAAAATACAACTTTAAGTTTAAATGGGCATGTTAATTTATTGTGAAGTCGATTATCATTGGGTAGACGTATTAGATTTCGGCTTCAACGATTCAAAAGATTAAAGCGAATCGTTCGCCATTTGTTTGGACAATCATACCTTGTCCTTAGTCTTTTTAGCTAAATTAGTAGCCCAGCCTATTTTAGACATTTCACCGTCGAAATATGAAGCTTCAAAATCTTGTGTGTCCACCAGAAATTTCACTATCAATAAAAACAAAATATTTCATGTACCTACCTTTACTTAAGTTTACAACGATCACTTGTGGTGTTTTAACTGGATTTGACCGTTTTGGTTTTTTGTCAATTCCGACATCTAGTTTATCATTTAGATCCCGCTTTTGATCTGATTTGGTCGACGGAATGTCAACTGTAACGCCCCCATGTGATGCTTTAACTTTAGTCGATTCTTTAGAATAACAGGTTTGAAGAAAATATCCAAATAATAAAAAGACTAAAACACTTTTACGTAGGCCCATTTTTGTTTTTTATGGACGCATCCATCTTGAATTTGGCGTCATGGTTGTTCTGGTTGACGTCATAATTTAATGACGTCAACAACAGCCCACAGGCGTGTTGAATAACTCTTGAACACTTTATAAGAATAAACATAAAATTTAATTCTCAAGAATGGTGAATATGAGTTATATTCATATTAAATGGCATGTGAATCAATGATCTGGCAAAGCAAGCACGACTACACCAATGAATTATGTCCAAATCAATTCGACATTAACGGAAAAATCCCACCTGAAAACTTTGAAAATTGCTTGTGAAGATGGACGGAAGACGTAGAATGCTCTGGAAATCTTTAGTGGATATTAATATTGCAATAACCATCCTTTCACACCAAATGTTGGATACAATTGGATAAATTGAATGGAAACGGTTGCTTTAGCAAGATGCAAAAATTTATGCATGAAAACATCTTAAGTATCTTCACAATGATCAAAGTATTACGTCTTCATCTTTTTTTTCAGGGAAGTTTGTGAATGCAACAATTTGATTGGATTGTACGCTAGCGAACACAGCCAACCTGAGCACTCGTCAGAAAGACTGTAAAATTAATTACGCATGAAATCAATGGCTCTGGTTGACTGTAACCTCTGACCCCCCTCCCCCTCCCCCCCCCCCTCCTTTGGTTCCTCCACCGATCAAGCTAACAATAAATCTTGGATGACAGACGGCCCCGGAAATAGCTTGCTACAATGCTTCCACTTTTTCATGTTGGTGTTTAGTAAAACTATAGAGGTTTTTTTTCTTCAAGATTTCGAGATAAGAAGGTTAATGATTTGCCATTTTTAACAAGGGATAAGGGTCATATGAAATATCTTGTCCAACTATATAGCAATCAGATCACTCACTGAGCTAGCTAAGAATGTGGATGCTGTGATCATGTACAATAATGCTTATAAGACACATCATACTTTTTTACAAAATAATATTGATATACTTATACAAAATATTAAATCTTGGGATAGTCTAAACTTTATTATGATTCATCTCTTCCAATAATTGTCTTAGCTCATTTAGCATAATTGTCAAAGCTTTGTTATTTTCTTGTCTCTTTTTAGCCACAGATCTTTCATCAGCTGGGTTTAAAATTAGTTGAGTTTGGCTGCCGTCAGCTGTTGGGTGTAATTTGGAAGTAATGTTGGCAATTTTTGCATTTAAATTCATGACAGCTGCTGGGTTTTTCTCATTGAGCTTCTGGACTTTTTCTTCTGCAACTTTGGCCTCATGTTCAACTTTCTTGACCAGCTCCAAAGATCGTTCCTCTTCGGCCTTCGTCTTTCCTGATAAGATTGTTTCACCAAATACGTCCTCCTCTAGTTTTCGAAGGTTATCATCCACGATGCTAGGTGTGGATGTAGTTTTTGCTATCACATCTATTTCCTCTTCATTGTTTTCCAGTTTTGCACCCAAATCGTTTCTTCGATTCTCTTCAGACATTTTCGCCTTATTCATCTGTTTCAGCGTTTGATGTTTATGTTTTATAGGAGGGGCATGGTGATTGGGCGATTTTTTGTGTGTGTGTTTTGAAAACTTAGTTTCTGTTTTCTTTGGAATATTTAAGTTATCGACCCTTTTCTTGAGATTATTTTTTAACACAGAGGACTCTACTTTCTTCGGAAGCTTGGATGGGTTGATTTTATGCTTAAAATTAGATTTGAAAACATTGCTGTCAATGTTCTTTGGCACCTTCAAGGAATCGATTTTCTTTTTAAGCCGATCTTTCAAAACGGAAGTTTCATTTTTGTTTGTATTCTTCCCTATGTTTGCATGTTTTACGTGGGATCCCATAGAACCAACTAAAGAGCCCTGTTTATGTTTTGAAGAAACGGTTGAACTTGTTGGACTTTCGGGTGACATTTCTGTGGTAACTGATAATAGATCATGCTTTTCGTTAGAATCCACTGTCGAAATTACTTTCTTAGAAGTTGTTGATATAACGTTCATCTCGTGTGTCGTTTCCGCAGTGGTAATAGAACGTTCCGTTGATGCTTTTGGAGTTGATAAGATATTTGGCGTTTCATTCATAAAGGGTTCTTTGGTTTTCTTTGGCAAGGTAGCATCCTTTGAAGTCGATAATTTTTCTTCGGGAATTTGGGTAATTTCTGACTTTTTCTTTGGTTCTACATTGACAAGAGCTTTCTGAGGAGTGGTGGAGGCACCTATTTTTTCTAGTTTCGAGCTTGGGGTAATAACTGTCTCTACCTTTGGTTTTTCTTGCATAGTAGGTTTTTGTGGCACAGGCAAGGTATCTGCTTTGTCTTCTTCTGGGCTTGGTATGGTTTCCGACTTTATCATCGGAATTTGTTGCATAATAGGTTTTTTTGGTATGGGTAATGCATCTGATTTTTCTTCTTCTTGGATGGGAATGTTTTCGGACTTTATCTTTGGTTTTTCTTGCATAATAGGTTTTTGTGACACGGGTAAGGCATCTGATTTTTCTTCGTCTGAGATGGGAATGGTTTCCGACTTTTGGCTTGGGGTGGTTGTCGATTTTATAATTGGTTTTTCTTTCTCAAAAGGTTTTTGTGGCGTGGGAATGGCATCTGATTTTTCTTCTTTTGGGCTTGGGGTGGTTTTCGATTTTATAATTGGTTTTTCTTTCTCAATAGGTTTTTGTGGCGCGGGAATGGCATCTGATTTTTCTTCTTTTGGGCTTGGGGTGGTTTTCGATTTTATAATTGGTTTTTCTTTCTCAATAGGTTTTTGTGGCGCGGGAATGGCATCTGATTTTTCTTCTTTTGGGCTTGGGGTGGTTTTCGATTTTATAATTGGTTTTTCTTTCTCAATAGGTTTTTGTGGCGCGGGAGTGGCATCTGATTTTTCTTCTTTTGGGCTTGGGGTGGTTTTCGATTTTATAATTGGTTTTTGTGGCACGGGTAAGGCATCTGATTTTTCTTCTTTTGGGCTTGGGATGGTTTCCCACTTTATCTGTGGATTTTCTTTTACAATAGGTTTTTGTGGCACGGGCAATGCATCTGATTTTTCTTCTTTTGGGCTTGAGTTAGTTTTCGAGTTTATAATTGTTTTTTCTTTCACAACAGGTTTTGGTGGAACGGGTAAGGCATCTATTTTTTCATTTTTCGGGCTTAGGGTGGTTTCCAACTGTATCGTAGGTTTATCTTTCACAATAGGTTTTTGTGGCACAGGAATGACATCTGATTTTTCTTTTTTTGGGCTTGAGATGGTTTTCGATTTTATAATTGGTTTTTCTGTCTCAATAGGTTTTTGTGGCACGGGCATGACATCTGACTTTTCTTTTTTCGGGCTTTGGGTGGTCTTCGATTTTATAACCAGTTTTTCTTTCACAATAGGTTTTTGTGGCACGGGCAATTCATCCGACTTTTCTGTTTTCGGGCTGGGGTTGGTTTCGGGTTTTATAATTGTTTTTTCCTTCACAACAGGTTTTTGTGGCACGGGTAAGGCAGCGGGTTTTTCTTCTTTCGGGATTATATTTGTTTTTTCCACCTCTATAGGTTTTTTGGGATTTGGCAAGATATCTAATATTCTTCCTTCAGTAAGTTGGGTGGTTTCTATAGTAGTAGGTGCCAATGCAATTTTTTCGAGGCTTGGGGTGGTTTTTGATATTTTATGTAGTGCATTCTTTACGATGATTTCTTGGGGGGTAGGCAAAGCATTTTCCTGTAAGATTATATTTTCTTCTTCGGATACTGTTTTTGTTTCTGATATTTCTTCTGTGGAAGGAGTGGTCAAATCTTCCTGTGCCAAAGAGACAGCTGAAATTGCAAATTCCTCTTCTGGCTCCTCTGGATTCTCCATTTGTTTGGTTTCAGCGATCGACTCTGCTTTCGCTTCAGGCGTAGCGTCTTGAGTTTCATCTTTCCCTTCATCTTGGTTTGTGTCCTCCTTGACATCAGTAACTTGTCGGTGATGTTGGAGACGATCGTTGTGACGGTGTCTTC